TTGACTAAAATGTTTGTTTGTCCTTTTTCGGTGAACTCCAGGATTTGTGGAAAATATATATGACCAATGACTGTTCGGATACAGTGAGATATTAAAAGACTTATTCAATGCTCAAAGGAGGGAAGCTCTGTTGAAAATCCAAGTGTTACGTAAATGCGTTCAAATATATTTATTTTGAATCTTTTTTGTACTTTTTAGTCAACTTTAAATCAAATTTTAAGATTTTACTCAAATATTCCGAATAAATTCAATTCAACGTGTCTTGTATCTGCCGAAAACGTCTGAAATGTAAAAAGTTTGAATTTTTTCAAGAATCGCCTTTCTTCCATCAAAACATACCATTAAATCCTGTAAAAAGTCGCAATTTGAAATGAATAAAGCTGTAACGCTCTCTAAATAGATTTCTTTAATTTTATTTTGAAAATTCAGCATATTCATTACAAAAATTCATTAATTTTTTCACCATAATAGCTAGAAAAAAGGTAATTAGATATGAATTCGCTTCCATTAAAAATTTTTTATTTCATTTCACAATTAGTACTGACGATTCCATTCATACGAATCGGCTCGTCTTATTTCGATCAATCTTAAATTGGTGTCACCATTATAGGTCGCCCATTTGGTAGCCAAGAAGATATTGTCGCTCGTATAAATAATTATCTTACGTGCTCCAGCTAACTTGGCGCGTTCTTCATTCAACATAGTTAAATTCAATACTCCACTGTTGAAGCTGTCTTTGGTTCGTGGAAACATTTTGATTTTGTTCAATTTCGACGATCGACGAATGAACGGCATGATGTCATCGATGTTGGCTCGTTCTATATAGAGTCGTTCAAGTTTAACAAGATGATTTGCTAGAATCTCCATTTCCGTGGCATTTGATCCACTCAAAATGGTGAGCTCCTTCAAATTGGTCAATTGAGGTAAATTATAGCTTTCATTAAACCACCGAATGCGCAAAAGCTCAAGACCTTTGAGCGAAATCAATGAATTGCTGAAATCCACATCGACATAATAAACATAAAGGTAAAGTCGTTTATAAAATCCCTGTTCATACAGTTGATTTAATAAGTTTGAAATCTCTTTCGAATGTTCGAATCCATCCAAACGATCTGAACATTCTTCATTAAGTTCCAACAGCTCCAATGTTATGTTGGAATTTAAAAAGATATCACGATTTTCCCACAAAAGCCTCGAGGTAGTTGTAAATTTCTGAACATTTGGATTTCGTACGAAAAATTCACGCAATTCTGCAATTCGACGCATATGATTTGGGATCAATTTAAAATGCTCCAACTTCGGGTATTCATGTAACAGGTGATTGGAATCAACCAGTCTGTAACATTCAATCTTTTTTAAGTTTGTACAGTGTTTCAGCATCAATTCATACAAATCATCACAAACCAAACATTTTCGGAGTTGCACAATTTCCAATTGGGGCAACAATTCTTTGATAAATTCAATTACTTTGGCGGTGACATTTAACATCGAAAGGTGAATGTGATTGGTTGATTCAAATTCGGTGACATGTGATTGAATATAGCGAAATGCATCGAAATCGTTACCACGAATTGAAATGCACGGCATGAACTTTCTGAAACCAGATGTTTGAATGAGTTTTCCAAAGACACCGTCCTGGTCCGAATAAACTGTGTGAATTCCATCTTTTGCGCAGAACTTCTCAGCCGATGAATGATTTCGTTTGAAATATTCGCCGGCCACTTTGTTCATCCGCTTGCATGTTTGGCCAAATGAATGCAAGTCTTTCATGGACAAATATTCGAATATTTCGTCGAAACAATCGATGTTCAATTTAAATATTTTTGACGACTCCAAATCTGATGAATCGCCAACAATAGCTTGACTTTGCTTATTACCCATGGTTGACGTCAATTCACTAGATAATGAACAAATAAAATATCATGGTTAATATTTTCAAAAACCAAGCACTTTTTGAATATATTCACCCGAGAGAAATATCACGAATCAATATTTCAACGATTGAAAAGGTTTCAATGGCAATCTAAATGAACGTAATTTTTTTGTAAGCAAAGAATCACTACACAATCTTGTGAAATTATCTGATTTTCTGACATGACGATTTATTGTCAATAAAAATAGTATACAGTGAATGAAGGGACTTTGACAGATGGACTGAAGGGGCTTTGACACTTGTTTTATTTCAATTTGACGTTTTATTCGCTTTTGTTGTTTCAAATCGATTTGAATTAGTCACCGTGGATGGTTCCACATATGTATAATGCGAATAAACTTAAATAACACATTAAAAGTTGTAAAATAAGTAATTTTTCTTATTTCGAAATTAATTTCTAGCAAAATCGGTATACTTTAAGTGCAAGTCGGGAGGCCAAATGGTCACATTTTGAAAAAATGTTGGTACATCCTGATTTGGGGCGCCAAGACACATATAAATCCAAGTGTACACATCAATACTCCAAAAAAAGATCAAAAACGCTCCGCCCTATGTTTACAGACTGACTTTTATTCAATAATTTATTTCGACTTATGAAACCATTTCCTTTTTCCAGAAAATGTTTTTCTCCACGTGTTTTTCTTTTCTTTTTTTGTTAAAAATGTATCGTGATTCTTATAAATTGTAGAAAAAAGATAAACGAATCATTTCTTAAAAATATAATATACAAAAAAAAAAAATTATTAAATTCAGTGAAAATATTATTTTTGTATATCTGTCAAACAATTGGTATCTGTTAAAATAAACACATTTCAGATTAACTATCGGTATTATCGCAAATAAAAAATTAAAAATGTTGCCAGTTAAAAGTAGAGGAGAGCCCGAAATTCATTGTGTGTTAAACTTTTAAATATTTGTGTGTTGTTGTTACTCCAATTTTTTTATTTATAATAAATTCTATTAATTATTTTCGTTGCTGCTATTGCAAAACTTATTTAATTTATACAATTTTGAAATAAAATTGCCAGAAAAAAATATATGAGACATTTACGAAGTTTGCAAGCTTCATTGTTTTCAAGAGAGAGAAAGAGTTGGCGCTCCTCCAACGGACTCATCTTCAAATACATTGTCAATATAGGACG